ACCATAAGTGTGGAAGCTGCTTCTCTTTGCTGTTCACTTTGTTCCATTGTACAATTCACGTCATGAACGTCTGACAATATGCTTATTCCCTTACACTTCCCTCATCTTGGATTATGTTTCCAGTAAGCCTCCCAAAAGCACTGTAATATTTACTAGTATACATTTTGGCACACATAAAACATATAATTGTATTTATATTCATGCCCTTTGTGTATATACATCTACAGACCTTCAAAACATTGCAAGTGTTTTTCCTAAGCTTCTTAACAATTTGACCTTATTGGTGTAGCCTGCTTTAAATCCCTGCATTTCACTCTTTATTTCACCCATATCATTATAAAAACAACACAGAAACTTTAAACCAACCAGATGCAAAAACCCAGCAATCAAAAGAATCCTCTACTTAGTCTGGAGAAAAAAAAAAAAAGACTTGAAATACATATTTTTTAAATACATGTAAACTAACTTTTATTATCATCCCAATCAGCAGTGATATAATTTTCTTTGAAAATAACCATGGTAATTTAGACTATGGTATTCATAGCTATTAAAACTATATCAGATTTTTATATAAACAGCTTTTTATTGTGGTGTGTTTTTGTTTTTGTTTTTTTTTAAACAAAGTAGTCTCAAGTACAGCCATATGTAGGATTTATGTGAGGAATAGTCCAAAAGTGAAATGTGACATCAAAATAACATCAACAGTTTCAAAACAAAAGCAATTTTAAGTTGAAGCTGAAGTTCCATTTTAAGCCATCGCTGTTCAGAGCCATTTCTCCATAGATTTCAATAGTTTCTGTCCATAGATAGTCAATGTACAGTGTTTAATAACCAGAAAAATAACTAGAAGTACTGCATTTAAAATAAAAGTCAATGCGAAAGGTTGTTAAAAAAAGTGTATTCATTTTTAAAAGCACGTATTTCACATCAGCTTTTAACATTCCCTCAATCCAAAGAAAATTTAGAGACTCGATTCCCTTCAAGACATAATAGAAGAAAGACTAATTTAATGGATAAAACTAAATTTCTGCCCTTAACTCAACACACAGGTTACAAACCCCTTCTAAGGGCCCTCCTCAATGGAAGAGCGAGCACCCAGACCGGTACAGTTGATTAGATAAGGCTTTTAAAAATGTGGCCCAAACATAAAATAAAAACTCCGTGCCTCCTTTCAAAAAAATTTAAACTCCATGCTACTAATACAGAGCCAGCACTGCCAAATAGCATAATAGATAAATCTAGAAGAGCAGAATATACCCATTTGGAAAATGCAGCAAAATGGCATTAAATTGTGGAAAGCAATTAGAACTGAACCTTTGCTTTCATTTTAGATTATTGAACCATGCATGGCTATTCAATTTTTTTCAATTACAACGTTGTACAGACCTATATATTTCAAAGCGCTGCTCCAGGAACTAATATATAGTTCAACCAGGGTGGTATCCACAGTGTCACCACCAAGGGCAAATGGATAAAGTTACCAGGGGGAATTATTTTTTTTGTGGCAGGTTGATTTAGTCTTTTTAAATGACAGCAGCTGAACAATCAACTCTTATTTGTTTCTGTTACTAATAGAAAGGTGTTAGGCAAGTCAACCTTGTAATAAAGATTCTTCTGTGAGAAGAAACTACCAGTCTTGATAACTAAATTATAGCATTCATAATAGTAACTACAAAGACTGAGAAAGCTGTGGTGTTGCCTGAATCAGCCACTGGCAATCATTTATCTGCTATGTTTAGGGACAGTGCTTTCAATAGCAAAAACAGATTTTTACAGTTAATCAGTTCCAGTACTACTTTTAGATAAAATTTGAGATTTGAAAACAGAAGCAAGGGCTTCAGATACTGAGGGATGCATAGCATTAAAAATGAGTCCTCATAGCTAGAGATTTGAGAGATGCAAATTATCTCCATTTACATACTTGATGAGTAGCCATAACATCATACACACAGCGTGCAATATGATGCCCTGCGCCTGGGACAGCAAATACCAACAGGCAAATGAAATAAAATTAAACTCTCAGTAGGATACTCACAAACAGATCATCAAGATAACGGCTGCCAATTTGTCAGCAGCCTGCAGTAAACTCTAATTGAACTCCCTGTAACCTGAAAAGCAACAGCCCCAAATCCTGAATTGGCTCCAAGGGGGAGTTGAGTTCCCTCACGTCCTGGGCTGCGAGTCCCACTAAGCACACTGGGAAGGGGACATGAGGTGACATTTCTGCAAGGCCAGCAAAAAATCAGCAGTAAAACCCAGCTCTTCTCTGCAGCTGAGTGCAGTGGGGCTCAGCCTCAGGCCCTGCTCCAGCAGCACTCCTGAACTGATGCCCAGTGAGGCAATTTGCCCAACGGGCCTCGGCTCCTCAGAGGAACACTGGGGTGGCTCAAAGGAATGCCTAGAAGACCCAGTTCAGCTCTTCCATGCAGTTCTAAGCAAGACAAAGACATCCCCCACCACCACTCACAATTAAAGGCGCACACATAAACTTATTCCATTTCCACAGACAGTGGAACCATAACTCTCCACAGTTTGGCTACTTGGTCTACTAGTTCTGAGCCACACACATAGGAGGCTTTTTATGAATCCACTTCCATAATACAGGAAGTCCTAGGGGCATTCCCTGGATCACTTCAAACTCTGCTGGGAATTTTTCTTTTGCCTGACAGAGGCGTTCAAACACTTCATTAATTGAAGTTCCCTATTTTTCCTATGAGTGCATTCTTTTGAGATGAAAGACATGGTTTTGATCTAGTAAAAGATACTCTGTCCTGAAGAAAAAAAAAAAAAAAAAAACAGCAAATGTTACCCTCAACAAATTTTTAATGAACGCACACTGAGAAAACCTTAGTTGTAAAATATTCATTTCACTTGTTGCCTACAGCCTTTTCTGAATCAGTACTGTGTTGACAACAACAGCACACTGACCACAACTATAAACTACTGTCTCACAGACAAAAGTAAAACAGTACTTCTCCATCTGTGTTCTGCTTTGTGTAGAAATTGTATTTACTTCAGGCATAGAGAAACTTGTGACATGTTATTCACATACACATTTTATCTGAATCAAATTTGATCTTCTACCTTTTTTTGGTAAAATTTCAGATTCAATAACATACCCATGACTAGTATTTCTCTGAGTTTTTCTCCTCAACATCAATGCGAATGGCATCTGCTCAGAACAAAGGAGATTTTGCTAGATGCCTGCTTCATTTCAGGGAGGATTCAAAGTAAGTTCACCCTTAATACCAACAGGCTGTGCCAAAGAGTGCCTTTCCCCATAACCAGCCCAATGGCTAGCACGTCCACAGCGAGCAAGCGTCACAGGTTACTCTTTCTCATCCACAACTAGCACATATCCTAACCGCCATGGTGACTAACAGGCTGAGGTCCTTTCCCTTTCTTGCCTTTTAAGAGAGGATACACACGCTCTGAGCTCATAAAATTAAACACTATATGTGAGGGTTTCTTGTGCAATCCTGTCCAGGATTAGTCAGAGTCTAGAGAGAGAGGGAATTACGCATACTTTCAGCTAAGGAGCATTGTTTTTCATACATGTGCTTTTGGACTGTGTACACAATCTATTCCGTTTCAGCATTCTCTTTATTATTTCATTAAAAAAATAGATTTGGGCCTGAAAAATACACTGGTATTTTATCGAATCAGTTGGGATCCCCAGACTCTGCTAGCATTTGATAGATTACATTGGGCTGGAGAGCATACAAGTATATAGGGTCAAAAAAGGATATTGTGAAAGACAGTTGCGCTTAGATTGCTTAAAACAGAGAACTACAGGAAACCTGTCGTACTTACATCCATCTTAAGAGACAGGCCTTATCGGATGGAATTCATTTAGGGAAACTTTAAAGGTGTGATAGAGAAACCCAGGCTCAGTTATGAAACAGGTACGGGCAGTAGAGGCTGAGCAGCCATAGCCCAGTGTGGTGGTTCTCAATCACCTGTCTGCTGAGCTGTGAAGCAGGAGTGGTACAGTTTCTATTTCACGGTTATAAATTAACTGGCAAAAGTGAAAGAAAAATCAAAGCTGAGGGTGAAAGGGTGGGATCAAAATAATATATAAATAACAAGAAAGATTGAATGGCAGAGCTTTTATTGCTTGCTAATGGATTTAACAAACCCAAATATGTGACACATTAGAGCATCCATGTTGCTTAACTGTAAAACCATACATTTTCCAAAAGCTAGGCAAAGCCACTATAGCTATATAGCGCTATCCTGGTCTTTTCTTGTAAAGCAATTAAATTGCACAAAGAAAAAAATGTTACCCATGGAAAACTAAACTTATTCAGAGAACTAGGCATCAATCAGGGGAAGAATTTACTGTAGTCTCCTAAAGGATTGATCTCTGAAACCAAATCCAAACTTCACTTTAGCATTTCTGTCTTGTTAAAACTACTTTATAAGGTGTTATTGTGACCAACTGAAGTTCACACACAAATGAAGTCATGCACAGCAACACTCAAGGAAAAACAAGCAATTGCTTAAGAAGATTTTTATGATAATCTGTGTATCAGAGTTACATATGATGATAATACACTGTAATTACTGCATGCTTTCTAGAAATTTTCAGTTGTCAGTAAACACTGACCAAGGTCTGACAATACAGAGAAGATACCAGAAGGCAAGCACTCCCACTCTGCTCAGCCTGATGGTATTCTCATGGACAACAGCAATCTTCAGATTGGACCACGCTCAACTGCTTGCTTTAATAGGGTTCCGCCTATCTTTTCACAGTTTGCCTTCTCTCAACTTTCCACCGCTTTAGCCATTACACCTTGTGATTTTGTAATCTGTTCTCTCTCTAACATTTTTTGTCTGAAAACCATTTGCCTTTGCATCTGACGCTTCCTGAAGAACTCACAGCTTTACCACATATCCATAGGGAAAGGCAGTAGCAGATATAGCTGCTTTTAATCAGTCTTAAGTTACCTAGGAAAGGTAAAGGTCACAATCCAGAAAATAAAGAAGGAATTGCTTACCTCCTTCTGAGGACCAAGGCTCACCAAAAACTCCCGAGAGATCACCAAGGAGAACACCTTCCATCCCAGGCCAGCCCCTAAATGAGGTGAGGGGAGCTAGGGCCTGACTCCACCCCTGCTGGGGAACAGATGAATTGTTTCCACCTGTGTTCCCAGGGCTGGCTATGCCCCTTTCCCAGGTGCTCAATCACTGGTTCAGACCTTAGCCTAACAGTTCCAATACAGGATCTCACAGAACGGTTTGGAAGAGGTTTGGAAGAGGTGACCATAAAGCCCACCCAGCCCCAATTCCCTTTTATGGGCAGGTCTGCCCACCCCCAAGGGCCAGGGCCCCATCCAACCTGGCCCTGAGCACCTGCAAGGATGGGGCACCACAGCTGCTCTGGGCAGCTGTGCCAGGGCCTCACCGCCCTCTGAGTAAAGAATTTCTCCCAAACATCTAACTTAAATCTCCACTCTTTTTGTTCAATGCCAAATTCCATTACTCCTTGTCCTGTCACTGTTAGGTCATGTAAAAAACTGGTCCTCCTGCTTATAAGTTCCTTTCAAGTACTGGATCTGTTTCATTTAAAACTGTAGTTTCTAGTGCATGAACTACTGCTGCTAGTCAACTATTGGGCAAATTCCTGTTTTGATGCTGACGCGTTTTTCACAGCCAGCACTGTTGATTTATTTGTAGTACTGTACATATGGCATCTCTCTTTATCTGATATGTCTATGCTCTCATTGGAACTACTAGCAAAAACACCTGTGCATCATTTTTTCCTACAATTGCACTGTGCTTCATTTCAGCAGTTTGCTCATTGCTTTTGTCTCATGATGAAGCCACTTTTGGCAACTAGTATTTACTGCAAGTCTACACCAGCTATTCCCAATCTCTAATGCATCTGAAGACCACTGTCAGTAGCCTGAATATTATGACTTTAATCCTAACCGTACGACCAAGAGACAGCTCTTGATCAGACAAATACCCAGCTTTCCAGTGCAATAGTTGCCATGAACACACAATGACTTTTGAAAATACCTGATAGAGTAAAATTTTGCTCTAAATAATAGAGAATGCATTTGTCAAAAAGTCACTTATTGCTCTAACAATATTTCTTTCTTTGGAAGAGAGAAAAAGTTGCAGTGAGAATTGGAGATAGGTTATGTGGAAACATCAGTAATCAGACATGGTCAACAATCAACAGAAACAAAGAATCTCAGATTAGAAAATAAGAATAATTTAATCTTGTTGTTTCATGTTCAGAACATTGTTTTGTTCTGCCATTGTCTTTTTTCCCTTACAGAGAAGAGTTTTCTTTTTCAGAAATTTAAGAACTGTGGTGTTGCCAGTAAATGTGACTCTGGGGGAACAGTTCCAGATAGAAGAGGCTAACATACAAACAGCTTAATGTCATTCCTCATTGTCCCAGATCATGAGAGCCTTCAAAGAATGGGGGAGAATAGCTGTGTGCTTTCCAAGAAATTCCCTGTATGTAAAGAAAAAGGGATCAGTGATGTTTCCCCCAGGGGAAAGTCTTCTTTCCACTGCAGTTCCATGAGTGTGTGAAGAAAGAAATAGGAAGGGGGGCTGGAGGAGAACACAGAATCCTTATGGCATAATGTGCTTCGGGCTCCAAAAAGCCAGAATCTGTCCCTTGAATCTAGCCTTTGAATTAATATCTGTAACTTTTACCAGAAAAACTCCTGAAATATTTGCAGTAGCCACTTTTGCACATTTAGCTATTAAAATCCATGACAAAAAAATACATCCAAGTTGCACCAAATGTTTCCGCAACATGTAACAGGCATTCCTGAAAGAGAGCATCATCTTGATATGCACAGGTTTATAGAATTTTTTTCACTAATTCTGTGTTTCCACAACACTGAATATATTTTCTGGATATCTGGAAGTCTTAAATAGACTTCAGAAATTATGTTGTTGCATGTACTATGTGGAAGAAAATAAACATCTGTGTCTTCATTGTTTTCCTTCAACAAAACCAAAACCAAACTGATTAGATTTATTAATAAATGCAATAAGGCATTTAATTCAGGTAACTCAATTTTCTACAGCAAGAATACCTTACACCTACAGCAAGCACTTTACAATACACTTTACACTACAATTGCAAATTGTAACGTAAGACACATCTATTCAATTATTATCAACTTGTCTATGGAAAACTCTTATTTATGTACACATGACAACTAGCTCACAGACAAATGCCAACAGAAGAGAATTATCTTGGTTTGTTTGGCAGGGTCGAGTGTTCTTTTTGTAATAATGGCTTTCCTCATATTAATAAAACAGAACTTTCCTGGCAACTCATATGCCTATAATTCATCAGACCTGCAGCCTGGTAATCTTTAATGGTTATCCAGGGGTTGAAATTAAAGGAAAATTATTTCTGTGCCATTGAAACAACACAAATTTGTGGTCTGTGCTACAGCTTTCTTGGAAACACTCCAAAAACTAGACAAACATTAATTACACTTCATTTTGCTAACTAGAGTTAATAGCTGAGAGGTGCCTGGAACAATTAGCTAAATTCAAAATCATTTAGGACAGCAAACTCAAAGTTGTTTGATCCTAGGATAAACATTAGTTTGTGATGTCGTATATGCCAAATAAACCACAATTGAGAAATATGTCACTGTTCATTTCTTTATTTATTTATTAATTTACTGCAACACAACAGCTTCTTTGGAAACTGCAATGCTGAGCGTGATGTTATGTTTCTCAGACCGAGGAAGCATTCTGATTGACTGATGATCATTTTAATACGGAGCTTTAATCTAGTTTAACCGCAGGACTCAGCCAAAGCAGATGTTCAGTGTGTTTCTGAACTGACAGCCCTATCTCAGCAAAAGCATATACACTTCTGCTCTACTCCTAGGATCCCCACAAACAGCAGTTTAGGACAACCAACCCAAGCTGCGGCTAGGACATGGCTGCACTCTTAACAGCAATTAAATACAGTTCCTGATCAGGGCTTTCAAAATCCCCAATTCAGGCATTTTGTTATGAACAAACATCTGTCCATGTCTCAATAACAAAGAAAGATAAAGTGCTTTTGACAGATCTTTGCCCTCTGGTCATACTTTGCTTTTCACTAGTGTCTTTCATTTACTCCTCTTTGAAGACTATTTGCATAGGCCTTTAACAGGATGTCAAAAGCAGATTCACTGATAATGGAGGAAAGTGCTCCCCTACTTTGAATACAGCTTTTAGAGCACGGTGGGAAAACTGGAAACCTATAACACACAAGTATACATACTCCATTACAACAGACCAAAGCTGATAAACTGCCATCTCTCCACTCTCAGTTCTTTCACCACAAGCTTTCTTTCCTCGTTGATCACAGGAAACAGTTTGGAACTTGAAACTTCACCTTGCACTACATCATCTGAACCAAGAAAAGCAAGGGACTGCTCAACTTCTGATTTTCTTCCACTGATACAGCAGTGATGTAAAGGCTGACGCTCCGTCTTTTGCTTGTAGGCTGTACAGGAACAATGCAAGTTCAGTACTGTTGTAGAGTGACGTCAAGCACATAATTGGTTCTTTAACAGTGTGAGACAGTATATAAAAACAACATGCTGAAATCAATTCCAAAATTAATTTGGGATACTATTCTTAAATAGCTCCTGCAAAACACCTTACAATTTTACTTCCTTCTGACATAAAGAGGAACTGAGGGAATACATCAGTTTGCACCTTCCAGAAGACTCTACAAGGAGTAGGCTTAATTTATAGTGATGTCGTTCGAGGTCACAAAAAACTTGTTAAATAGACAGGGAGGGATCCTGACATACACAACAATGGGGAAGCAATATGGATACTGTGCTATAGTCTTCTTCATGCATTCTGTATGCAGAGCAGGAGCAGGGAGAATCCATTTGAGATTAAGTTATTCTTTTCCTATTAGAGCCTTAATTACATTCCAGCAACCATCCTCCTGGCTCTTGGAAGTGTTTGAGAGGAAAAAAAACAAACAAGACATTGGCACAAAAAATTCTGGAGTAATTTGTAGACAGAGCCCAGCCGGAGTAAATTGATTGTCTTATTTAGCCCCTAAAAATGAATAATTTCTTTGCTGAAAGAGTCCCAATGGTTGCTCTCTTAACATATATCTACAGACATATCCAGAAAAAAAGACTTTTTATGCAAAAAAAAAACCTACTGCATATGTTTCATGTCTTTTGCCTTTAAGCTACACCACATTTTGTTTTCTCTTCAAGAAGTAAAGCAAATACATAGATTGCTCTGAAAGTAATGCCTCCTTTTTATTTCCATGGGAACTACAGTAGATGCAAAAAGCACAATAGCACTGTTTAACAGAGGAAATTCTCAGCTACAAAACACAATTTTTCAGCAACCTCACTACCATAACTGCATTTTCACCAGCGATAGACAACAACCCTCATGACGCTCTCGGAAAAATCTATACCAATGGAGGTGAACCACTGTTGCTGTCACCGCTGGTGAAACACACCAGCAAGCTCACATTCACTGTTTGGGCTCCAGAATCATTCAGCAAGCATTGATAAACGTCAGCGGGAGCCATTTTTCCCATATGGAGGAATTGAATTCCACTCTCTTCTACTTCTATCCGTACTTCTTCTTCTATATCTATCTGTAATACAGCAACAACACATAATGGAATATTGGTGGGAAGGTTAAGCCTCTACTGCCATAACACCAACATTCGTCTCTGAAGTCGTAGGCCAAAATAATAAAACAGGAAGCATTACTTTTGGAGCAGCCCTCATATTTTGCAGCATCAGAAAGGCTAAAAGTTGTAATCAAACCCATCTGTGAGATGTAATTCTTGGAAGGTAAAGAAATTCCTCTTAAAACAGCAAATGAACGGTTTTCCTTGCATGCTTTTTTCCCAAGAGAAGTGATAACAAAACACTTGCACTGGCATGATGCTGAGATTTCTTTCCTGGGATCTGTGAACAATACATTATAAGAAGTTATCCACATGTACTGCAAATGCAGCCTGTTTTTATCACTAAGCTACTACCAAAACATGAATGATAAGCCAGCTTCTTCC